CTGTCTCAGGCCGCATGAACATCTTGCATGTATCCTTCGTGCAAACACACCTCCCCGCACTGCCCAAATGCAAACAGCTTCGGGCTCGCATCCTACCGAGATTGGTATGGCTACGCTCTCTAGGCTGTGAGCATAAGAGCTACATCTCCGTGTGGCTTCCCTTCTCTCATCTTTACCCTCATTCTTATTCAAAACACCATTTGGATTCTGTTATCTTCCACTCCCACAATCCATTCACATTATCTTCATATTCCCAATTTCCCTCATTTCCCATCTTCATCATGGTTGACCAGGACGTCACTCCCCATCGCTTCTACCAGGACACCAGCCTCTACACTCCGAGGCACAACAATATTCTCTTTGCTAACGACCATCAGCTCACCATCCCGGGCTCTCTTCCTCAACGTCCCAAGAACTTCAACCAGTTCGGCAAGGCCGCCAACATCGTGCTCAACACCTTCAACGTCGTCAAGGCCCCCGACACCGTCGTCCATCAGTATGATGTAAGTTTTCCTGTCCCCCAAGTTTGACTTAATACTAACTTCTACAAGCTCAACTACAGCGGCGACGCCCTCGACTACACCAAGCGTGTCCTACTGAAGAAGATCTGGAACTCCCCTACTATCAAGGCCGAGCTTGGTGAGCCCGCCAACCTCTGGGTCTGGGACACCAACAAGCTGGCTTGGTCCGGTAAGCGTCTGCCCCGTGACGATACCCGCATCACTGTCGACCTCGATGAGGAGGAGGGCCGTCCTACCAAGCCGGGAGCGCGTGGCAACAAGCACACCATCCACGTCCGCTGGACTCGTAAGGTCGACTTCATCAACTTGAACGCTTTCCTCGATGGCCAAGCTTCTTGGTCTAACGAGTGTATCGACACGATCAACTTCCTTGACCATGTCATGCGCGAGTGGCCTTCTCAGCAGTACACTCAAATCAAGAAGTCTTTCTTCCAGCGCGGAGAAATCCGCTTCGACCTTGGCGGTGGTGTTGAAGCCTTCAAGGGTGTCTTCGCGTCCCTTCGCCCCGTTTTGGACGACAAGTTCAAGAAGTCACTGTCGGTCAACGTCGATGTCGCCAACGGCACCTTCTGGCGTGCTCAAGAGCTCACCCGCGCTATTGGCCAAGTCTTCAACTGTAACCCGCCTCAGTTCGCCACCATGTACAAGAACGCCACTCGTGACTGGAAGGGCTCCATGCTCAAGAGGGACCTCCGCAAGTTCAAGAAAGTAGGTGTATCTACGACACATACTAAGGAGCCTACGCAATGGTAAGTTGTTCTTTTCGGTTTGCCGACTACATACGCGTGGTGTACTAACTTTTGATCTCAGGACGATCGATGAAATCGTCAACTTGGACGCTTCCCAGGCGACTTTCCCGGATCCCGATGACCGCTCCAAGAAGATCTCGGTTGCTCAGTACTTTAAGAAGAAGTATGGCGTCACTGTCATGGCTGGTCTGCCGGTAGTCAAGATGACCAAGAAGATCCGCAAGGAGCCTGTCTATATGCCTGTCGACGTCCTGAAGATCGACGGCAACCAGCGCTACACCACCAAGCTCAGCGATACCCAGACGTCCCAAATGATCAAGTTCGCCGTCACCCTTCCCAAGGAGCGTTGGGCCGCTGTTCAGCAGGGAGTAAAGTTGCTCAACTGGCAGAATGACCCCTACCTCCGCCACTACGGCCTGAAGGTTAGCTCCGCGCCTGCCAAGGTGACAGCTCGTATTCTCCCTTCGCCCACCGTTCACTTCGGCGCCGGTTCCAAGGAAGCCACCATCAAGCCTGCGGACATGATCGCCGGTCGCTGGAGGCTGGACGGTCGCAAGTTCGCCATGAACAACAAGGAGCGTCCTATCAAGGCGTGGGGTGTCTGCTGTGTCCAAGGTCGTGGCAGCCCTCCCCCTCAAGCCATTGAAGCCTTCTTCCAGAAGTTCGTCCAGATCTACGAAGCCCACGGTGGACTTGTAGCCGCGCACCCTCAGCATGGCAAGAAGCCATGGATGGGTCCCGGTAACCTTGCTGATGGTGGTGAGATGATCCAGAAGGTCTGGAACCAGACTGGCAACAAGTACGCCATGCCACCTAATCTGCTCTTCTTCGTCGTCAACGACCGCAATGTCGACGTCTACCGTCGCATCAAGAAGTCTTGCGACATTCGATTCGGTGTGGCTTCGCAGGTTCTCCAGGCCAAGCATGTCATGTCTGCTTCGCCCCAGTATATCTCCAACGTCTGCATGAAGGTCAACGCTAAGCTTGGCGGAGCTACTTCGGTTGCGAAGTCTCAGCTCATTCCCAAGGTTGCCCCGAAGTCAGCATCTATTCCCACCATGGTTGTTGGCGCCGACGTCTCTCACCCTGCTCCCGGAGCCGCTTCAGGTGAGGCTGCATCCTTCGCTGCCATCACGGTATCCGCCGACGTCCACTTCGCCAAGTACTGGGCTGAGGTTCAGACCAACGGTAACCGCGTGGAAATGGTCACAACCTCCAACATCAACGACCACTTCGGGTTCATGGCCAAGAACTGGATGCAGAAGATCGGCCAGGGCAAGCCTCCTCAGCGTGTACTCTATATTAGAGATGGCGTGAGCGAGGGACAGTACGCCGCTGTCCTTGAGGAAGAAGTCCATGACATGAAAGAATGCTTCAAGAAGCTGGGCTGCAAGGAGATCCCCAAATTCACCGTCGTCATTGCTGGTAAGCGCCACCATATCCGCTTCTTCCCTGAGGCTGGCAAAGGCGACCGCAACGGCAACCCTCTTCCCGGTACTTTGGTAGAGACTGGCTGCACCCATCCGTTCGAGTTCGACTTCTATCTCTGCGCCCACGTTGCCATCAAGGGTACAGCTCGCCCCATCCACTACCAGTGCATCCTCAACGAGGGTGAGTGGCTGTCGGCCGAGCTCCAGCAGTTTATCTTCGAGCACTCATACCACTATGTCCGCTCTACTACTCCGGTGTCCCTGCACCCTGCGGTCTACTACGCCCACTTGGCTGCCGACCGTTCCCGTGCTCATCTCAACGACAACCCGGTCTCGTCTGGCAAGAAGGAGTCCAAGGCCGACCAGCAGTCTTCCACTGGTTCATCCAAGCAGAACGTCGAGATCGCTCCGTTGATGCCGATGCAGAACGCACGCGGCCTCAGGGATGTTATGTGGTACATCTAAGGAACGAAGAGAGGTCAAGCCGGTCGGTAGTGCTGGATAGGATGGCTTCACTGGTTCGAAACACGATGGAGGACTCGGTTGCGACGATGGCGTGAATCTGTTCACGGCGCATCAAAAGTCGGTGATTCGGTGTTCTCTTCAATCTTTCCTTGCGATATCCATATTTCATGGTCCTAGCGAGGACATCTCATGATCTCAGGTAGTATGCCTCGCCCGTCAGCGGCCTCGCAGAATCAATATGGTATGAAATAACTCCTGCTGCTTTGCGACGTTGTGATGTTGCGCATACGTGCTCAGCTTCTCGCATTTTTTAACATGCCCACGAACTATCGGCCAGATCAGTTTGATACAGTGTCCATCGCCGGAACTGAGTTGAGTGTCTAAGAGGAGACCGTCCATAGGCTCAGCCTAGATTTTACCTTGCTCTTCACGATCCGAAGGCTAAACTACCGCAGGCTCTGACTGCCGGGTGCTTAGCAGAAGTATAGCCACGGCCTTGATGATCCAAAAACGGCGCCTGACCCTGAGGCGAGCTTCCAATCAGCCTAAATAGCTGTTGTATCGATCAAGTGGCCACGAGCCCCGGAGAGTCGATGCGAATGGAGATTTTCGTTTCCTCTCGTTGCGATTGGGTACAAGCTGTTAATTTCACGAGGAAACGCGGCCACCAAGTCGAAGACCGCAGAGCTTGCAACTTTGCGCCGAAGAATGGAAGTCGTACTCGTCGGGCTAATGGAGAGGACTTGCGTATTGTATGGAATAATAGAACAATGAGAGCCGGAGTAGGACTACAAGGAAGCCTGTAGTATGTGTATCCGGGCTTCGAAACGATTGCAGATGCCTGGATGACACTAGGTAGATCGACACAGACAGATTGCTGCCTGTTCTTATTGCGAAATCGTGTGCGAAGGTTAAGAAGCACTTTGAAGGCAGGCAGGAAACGACAGAGGCACTTCTGGCTTGCTGGACGCGCCGCGCATCACAAAGCGCGATACCAGAGGACTTTGCGCTCGCGGCGACGACAGCAGCACTAAGAGCCTCCTATCACAGCTTCAGCGAATGCGAAACGACGATGTCAGGGTATTTACATCCTCGATCGAGTTCCGAGCGCAACATCACATACAGGCAGAGAGGTATGTACCGTCCAATATATTTACCTTCGCTCCACCAGCGCAAAGCGCAGAAGAGAAGGGGGTAAGCGAACGCATAATCATTCTAACCTCCATTTTCCCCTCCAAATCTTCATTGAGTGGAAGACACAGAGTGAATAATGGGGTGTTCAGTTTTAATGAACAGAAGAGGATCGCGCGACGCGTTGATTTTGATGGCTGCGAAGATTTCGGATGACTAAGGGACGCTTGCATGGTTGGGGTTAGCAGCGAAGCAGGGGTCATGTGAGCGAATCAAGGCTGGCGCGTTGGGTGTGACGAGTATGGTGGGGCAGGGGATTTTGGGCGGCGGCGCGGGGTTTTGTTGTCGGCCTGTGGGAGTGACTCTTCTGCGAGATTGAAGACCAGAGTGAAGTTTCGGGCGTACTAGGTGAATAAAGACTCTGTAGGCGGCGAACAACGTGGGGTGGGAAGCTAACAACCTGTAGTTTGATGAACCTGCACTCTCACACCCGCCCTTGTGAACGGAGATCCTTACACAAACGCACCTTACCCACTCTCCACTAAAGCTTCCCACGGTTCGGACTACTGCGAGAAGAACTACACACTCAACCGTAACCCCAAACCCTTCGATACCGACAAAGTCCCTCGATTAGTATACGGACTCGACCTGCAAGCAGTCACCGAACACTTTCCACTTCTCCACAAACAACCCAGACACACAACATGTCTTCAGCAGGACGTGGCCGCGGCGGCAAGTTCAACAAGGTCAAGCGCGGAGGCGGCAAGAAGTTCTCACGCGACCTACAACCGTTGAATGCAGATGGCGAGGTCGTTGGCATGTGGGGTGTAAGTATCTGATTTACCAAAGTCGCAAAGACTGTCTAACAAATAATCGCAGGAACAACCCGACAAGGTTGACGAAGAGTCGTCCGAAGAGGAAGAATCTTCTGAGGAAGAGTCTGGCGACGAGGACGGCAAGCCCGCACAAGAAGAACTGACGCGCGAGCAGCGTCGCGAACTCGCAAAGAAGCGCAAGGCGGCCGCGATCGCGAAGAAGTCACAGAAGACCCCCGAGGCAGGCGATATGCCCACCGACTCCTCCGAAGAGGAAGACGACGATATGCCCGCGAACCCAAACCACACTGCGAAAGCCCGTACACAAGCCACAAAGGCACCTGTCGACCCAGACGCTGAGCCTGCTGCTGCCGCTGCTAAGGGCAAAGGCAAGCAGCAAGACCTGTCTCAACTCTCTCGCCGCGAGCGTGAGGCTCTTCAGGCACAAGCCAGCAAGGACCGATACGATAAACTACACGCTGAAGGCAAGACCGAGCAGGCTCGTGCCGATCTGGAGCGCTTAAAGCTGGTCCGCGAGCGTAGGGATGCTGAGGCGGCGCGGAAGAAGGCTGAGGCTGAGGAGCGTGCTGAGCTGGAGAAGGAGAAGAAGGAGCTCATGGACCGTGAGAACAGGCGGCGGGAGCAGGCCAAGGGCAAGGCGGACCGTCTTGCTAAGGGCGGCAAGAAGAAGGCCTAAGTCTGACAGTCATTGTTAGGCTTGGAGCTTTCGCGACGTTACCAGTTACCTCTGCGACGCCCGGATGCCAGTATACGTGTGCGAACGCACTCCGTTCCACGCTTACGGGTTGCGCGGTTCGCGCACGGCGTAGCCACTTCGAGCTACTGGTCGATGCTCATGATGCGATGATAGAATCAAGTACAAGACGGCTGCATGGTGTATACCATGTAGCCTGCTGGATCCAAAGAAGAAACAAATGTGATCAAAGTTCACGAGCCATGAACACCATTTTGCTTGCCGTGACCAATGTACCAAGACCGAGAAGATGCACGCCATGTGACCGATACACAATATATTCCACTCAGGTAGCCCTTATGCTGCACGGCCTCTCGAAGTTTCGACAGCGATACGAGTTCGTATGCTGAGCCGTGAGCCCTCAAGCCGCCCTTGTGCTTCCCCGCGAGTTAGTGTCTCGCCTCGCGAACGCGAAGGTTCACGACTTCGTCATCACTCCCTCGACTATATGAACGTCGCGATGGCGCCACTGATGCTTCCCATCATGCGCATACACGTACAGGTCCTCTCGTATCGTTGCGCATCGCGTTACGATTCTGTCGACCATGGCTGAACCGATACCTGCGGAGGAGCAATCCAACTTCGAAACCTTCCGCGACTGCTTGAGCGAACCCGTCCTCAAAGCCCTGGCTGCACCGATTGAGAAGCCGAAATCGAAGAAGAAGAGACATGCGAAGAAGGGGTCGAAGGGTGGGAAAGATGAAGTCGTGAAGCAGGAGCCCGTACCAACGGCGGTGGAAGCCCAAGAAACGGATGCGGAAGACCTAGGAGAATTCATAGAAGTATACCATCTCTACGAACATAAGCACATCTACCCTAGAATATCGCTAACGAAAGAACCAGTACCTAAGCACCCTAATCTTCCCCTTCCTCCCCGCCGAACTGCACACGCTCACGCACTCCATCTTCAAAGACTCACCGACCCTCCAAGACCTCTACACAACGCCCCTCTCGTCCTCAACGTCCACCGCCCTCCTGCACACCATCCCACCCACCGCAATCGACAGCCTAGAAAGCTACGGCCTCCTCCCACCCACCTCCGACACCATCGACCAACACAACCTCCTCACACCGCTCCTAACAACATACATTTCCGCCGTCACCGCCCCGCCCCCAATCTGGAGCAGCACGCGCGCCACCGCCTGCGAGCTCTGCAGCAGAGACTGGGTGCCCTTGACATACCACCATCTCATTCCCAAAGCGGCGCATGCGCGCGTGCGGAAGCGGGGGTGGCATACAGAGGATAAGCTGAATAGTGTGGCGTGGCTGTGTAGGGCTTGTCATAGTTTTGTGCATCGGTTGGCGGGAAATGAGGAGTTGGCTAAGAATTTCTATACGGTCGAGTTGATACAGGAGGGTGGGGTGGAGGAGGATGTCGAGAAAAGGGAGAGTGTTGAGGGATGGGTTAAGTGGGTTGGGGGTGTTAGGTGGAGGAGTAGGTAGGAGGTAGTGGTATGATGGAAGGGTGTTGGATGCGGTGGTCTGAGGTTGGTACTCGAATGCTTTGGATTACCTGTCGTATTGTCCCTGGATGGATGCGCGACACTTTTTGGGTTGCGAGTACCATGGGACGGAAGATCTCGCTTCTCTTCATTGTGCCACCACTTTCGTGCTCTATCTCATATTCACGTCTCCGTCGCACACTTCCTGTCCTCTTTTTCATGCGTATCGACAGCTGATATCTCACGTCAAGCGACCATGCTGCCACCCTTCGTCTACTCCGTCTTCCGACTCACGGTCTACCCCATTTTCATTGCCCTCATCACGACCGTAACGGCTATCGTCACCATGGACCCATTCAAGAACACCACACTTCAGTACTTCGCTATTGGAAACATCGGTGTAGCGTTATGGGGTGTACTTGCGGGAGCCCTATAGACCATGAGAAGGAGCAGCAAATGAGAAGAGAAGTCACAAGAGCAAAGAAGCAAGCGGAGACATGATTGTGGTGTGATAAAAATGGTATCGATTCATCCATCAGAGGTCAAGTCAACCAGACGACCTCTGGAAAGCACATATGCACGCTAAAATGAGGATATACAACGGGTATCCAGCCCTCAAAACGCCGGTGTCGATATGCGACAATGCCTAATCCAAACATGCAGTCGTTTATACAAAGCCCTCAAGTCCAGCTCGGGTATGATGATTATAATGGCGCGTCGTCGAGGAAACCCTTCTCGACTTCATCCTCAAAGATCGAATACGAACGCCCGCGCTCGCTCATCTTGTTCTCCTTCTTCCTCGCGTCGAGACTTGCGCGAACATGTTTGAGGAAGGCCTCAGTGCTTGGGTCGCTTGGTGTACGGTGGAGTTCGCAAGGCATGTTCGATGCGTTCGCGACGGGTGCTGGTGCGATGATGTTGGAACATATGGTCGCTGAAGTCTTTGCCTTCCGTTCCACGGTACAAAGTCTCTTCGCAGACTCCCTGAACTTCTTGAAAGGGTCTTCAACTTTGGTCTCAAGCTTCTCTAGCTTGTGTAGCATCTGGAACTCCTCGCGGACCCGTCGTGCTGCCCACTCGCCGGCAGGGAAGGACCTTCGTCGTTGAGTGGTGGCGAGGTAGTCGTGGTATGTGTCGCTGCTTAAGCGAAGCTCGAACTCACTTGCTGGGTTGCTATGTGTGGGAGCAGGAACAGGCGCAGGAGCAAGTATGGGTTCCGGTGCGGTGGGAACAGGTGTGGAGCTGAAGTCGACGAGTTGACCTGGATGCACTTCACCCGTGCTGTCACACCGTGTGGATGGCGCCAATACTGTCAACGTCTTCTCGGTACTGTTCTTCTCGGAGGCGAACAGAGCTTCAGCATCTGTCGCTCTTGAATCGACTCTTTGTCTCTTGCAGCTTTCCTCTATTGCCGACCTTGGAGAGCCCGAAGCCGATGATATGGATGTGCGTGGGCTGACGTCAGGGGAGCGATCTTGACTCTTCCGCCGAGACCCAAAGCCAAAGCTGAAGTTCATGTTGAAGATCTGACTTGCCCGACGACGGCGCTTCTTCTTGAGGTTTGGGAATGACCATGGAGCAGCGCTCTCTGGTTTCGATGCCATAGGGCCGGAGTGAGGCAGCAATGATGGGAGTGGTCTGCTTGTGACTGCCATCTTGAAATGGTTTGGAGTTGAAGGTGTGAGTGGCGTAAGGGGTTGGAACGGGTTGGTGAAGTGCAAGTTGTTGTTGTGGTTGTTGTTTGGTCCTTGCTTGGTGACTCTCGGTAATGGGAGTGTACGATGTATGTTCTGTTGTGGAGGATAATAGAGTTGCAAGTTTCGTGCTACCTGGCTCGCGGCGGTTGTCTCACTGGATAAGTAGGCGTCTCGTGTGAATGCATAAAACAAGTCATCTTGCAGGCAGTGTTCACGAGGCGCTGGTCGTGGGAGACGTGGGTCCGCGAAAGGCGATGCCGGCGATGTGTTGGTCGAGGTTTGCTGCACGGGGAAATTCGGAAAAGGGCTGGTTTGTACAGGCCATGGGGGCGTGGTGCAGTCATATGGTGTTGGCGCGAACATTTGACCTGTGATCGCGTGGGTGTGGCCTCGTGCCGAGCACGCGGATGTGACTCCGAAGTTTTCCCGATAGCGGATTGGAGTTGCGGTGTGGAGCTGGTAGTCGCCAGCCATGTGTTGGTGATTTGATGGTGTCTCGGCAAGCGAGGTCCGGTGAGGAAATGTGCTGGACTATCTGCTATGTTTAAAGATCGTCGCCTGGGAGGTAGCCGCGGTAGCCAGAGATAACGATTTTGTGTCCTCTTGACCGCTGAAGTCGACTCCACGTTATATACCGCCTGTTCTGCATCATGGCATCTGCACGAGCTCGCCGATGAAAAGACTCACCGCGCCGGTACACTTGCCCGTGCACCGCCCCTCAACCTGTGCATTTGCGTGCCTCGACACTGACAGACCCGGATATTCCAAAAAGATAGAAAAACAACCTCCCCACGGGTCCTGTCATCATACATCACTCTTACACCTCATGCCACCGTACCTGCGGGCCCACACGCCCTCTGCCAGCGGTACAACCAACAGCACACCGCACATCGTGACCAGGTCCCACGCAACTCTGCGACACTAGCTTGATGACGGCGCGCTGTTGGTGAAGTTGATCGCTGGTTGGTTGCGGGGGCGCGACGTGCCGTTTGGCACCCGTGGGTAAGATGTGCGTCGGATTGTGGGTGAACCGTGGGCGGCAGACCGAGATCGCCGACTAGTGAAGTTTGGCATTGAGATCCAGGGTCCATGACAGATCTCAACGCATCTAGATCTGAACGCCTTAGTGCGCAGCATGAACCATCGCGGAGAACAGCATCAAAAGCAACTTGCGAACTGAGAGTTGTTATAGAAACAGCGGAGATGCAGGAGACGCGTGCTGATCCTTTCATCTCAGGTACCAAGATCTGAGCTCGCTTCTCGCCGAGCCGTACCGGGTGGCCTCCCAGTCAGAACATAGCTGTGAGCTAGTATTCAGGAGGCTGTGTATGGAGCTGAGCGGACGAGCGCATCAGGGTGACTCCGTGAACACGTCGTGCCTTCTTCAAAATTTCATGTGCCGAGGTCAACTTGTCGTACCTTGGGCGAACCAGCAAAAAGCATCGTGGATGTTGACGACCTTCTAGATCAGCAGTGCAGGTCTGGTGACGCACTCTATCCATAAAATTTGATATACATTTACTTGAAGAGGTTGAAGATGAACTACTACACTGCCTCAATGTGTTGACTGCGTAACAACCTCGGTAGATGAGCGCGGCACAGCTAGGCCCAAGCCAACCAAGAAGCAACGAGCACGGCAGTTATTCTGTCAACACCGTGTTGATCTATGACATGCGTACCTTCATCACAACCAAAATTCACTTCCTTAGTGAGTCTTCGTCTTCGCCCTTCTCTCTAACTCCATAGCCCCAATAATCGCGCAACCAACTCCACTCCCGTCTTCTGCGCTGGTAATCGTAATCGGGCCATCTCCTCCACAGTCCTTTTCCTTCCATCCCAGCACTTCACCCAGTGCCTTAGCCCATCTCCTCTTGAATTTTGGATGCTTGTTTGCCACACTCCCGTCGGCAGCTACATGACCCTTCTCGATACTTTCCATGGTGCAGATGGCAGCTACACCACAGGCACACAGTCGCGCACCACGCACAGCGATCATCTCAGCTAGTCTACGCGAGAGCTCGATCTCGACGTCTGTGGGCTGGATCGAGAGTGTAGAGTGGAAGAGTTCGCGTGTTTTGGTGAACTTGGGCGACTCGTCGTCTTCTATCTGAGATAGGAAGCCTGTATCGATACTGTATGGCTCACGCAGCTTTTGTAGTCCCTGGTCTGAGGCTTGACTGAAAACGAGACTGCGATCGAGGAGATCTACGAGTATGAGACGAAAGATCTCGCCTAGGTACAGGCCAGCGGAGAGCTTCTCGAAAGTCTGCTCTCCAGGTCGCGGGCTCTCTGCGTCGATCTGCTCGTCGTACTTTGTCAGGGGAAGCACACGCTTGGCTTGATCGAAGGCGCCATATTCGCAATTGATCGCCATCTTCTCTTCACCCTTCGTTGCGCCGTTGTGGGATGACGCGTCTGTGATTCTGTCGTCGTTGGAGTCCAGTTTTCCAATTCTTGAGAGGCTGGCCATGAAAGCTGCATTGCAGCCAGTACCAAAAATAGCGCCAACGATCGTTTCGGGGTCATTGTAGGCGGAGGCCACCATGGCACCGACGGTATCGTTGATCACGCAAATCAACTCGACCGGTAGCTTCCTTTCTTGCAGCTTCTCTCGAAGTTGCTTCGCGGCGTCCTGGCCTTCTACGCCCTTGATGTCGAAACCCTTGGTCCATGTCTGCAGGACTGCGTGGTCGATACGTTTCTGTGTCGCTGGGTAACTGAATGTGAAACCCAATGGCATGGGCTTCTCCACGCTGTATTGCTGATCAAGCTTGTGATCCTGGATGAAGGCCGCTACCTTTTCTGTAACGAAGTTCCATAGACTATCGGCATCCCCGGTCTTCATCTCCTCTGGTAACTTGTATTGTTCTTGCTCCATGCTGTGCTTCCCATCTCCTTCTTTCCCGCCTTCATCTCCATGCAGATCTACTTTGCAAACCCTCAGATTCGTACCACCAAGGTCAATAGTCAATATCGTTCCCTTCTCTTTTCCCGAAGGCAAATTATGCACCCAGGTGATGTTCATAGGGATGCCCTCCTGCTTGTCTTTGGTAAGGCCTTCTTCCAACTCTTCTCTGAAGCGGCTGACGATCTCCTTCAGTTTAGAACCGGAGATCCAAAACTGTTTGTCGAGCCGTGAAAGTTCATCGTCCAGACTTTGTGGTAGATCGGCCATCTTCTCGAGTTCAGAGCGTTGGCGCCATGATGTATTCGCCTCCTCGTCTATGCGCCGGCCTGCAGAAGTAGACATAATGGAGATTCAGTATTTCAGAATATGGAAAAGGTGATGAGGATAGTCTCAAAGGTATTTAAAAGTGCTGTCTAGAAGCGAAGCGCATGTACAGATTGTTTTGAATTATTTTCATGTTCATATTTACTGCGCTCGACATGATGACATCACACGGCGCTTGCCACGGTCCTGACTCCTAATTCAGACATTTATCGCAATTGTAGCGGATCTTATCGTTCCTGGAGGCCTTCTTTCGTGTAGATGACGTGCGTTTGGCATAGCAGAGTGGGAGCCGCGTGGGTGCCGCGTGGGTATTGCTAAAGCCTCGGGCCGAGAACCGCCGTAAGTTTTGTTGTTGAGTGGGCCGTGGGTTAGGGGCTGAAGAAAGGCCAGAAAAGCAAGCGAGAGGTATGCGAAAATAGATAAAATTCTAATGGTATGACTGATGTGTTCGCGCTTTCTTTATGCAGCGCCCGTGGTATCGACCGAATCCTTTACTCCGTCTAATGCGTAATGTACCGTCTTGTGATTATTGTAATCGAACAAAGGAAATGGAAGTAGCTGAGAGTTCAGCAAACGAATGTTTCGACAATAGTCGTATGGCGGGCTGCCTTGTGCAACGGTGTAGCAAGACTTCCGAGTTGGTTGCGCAGTAGCTGTGGTTTACGCAGCGCACTTCTGCCCGAACATGCCATGCTCGACTCTAGCGTGATTTGTTCGGACGGTTACGGGTGCGTCGTGTGTCGCTAGATGCTCCTTCCCCTCCTTTGCCGCGGCTCTTGTGTTGAGCAGACTAAGGTATGTCTGCCAGCCAATGGCAATGACACCACCAAATATGCTTCTGTATTCTATCGGGATGTACGTGAAGCTAAATGCCGTGACCATGGGCCAGACTTTGCAGCTGTTGATCCAGCTTGTTGGCACTGTGTTCTTGATGCGTTCGACGATTTCGGGTATCGTAGCGCCGGATAGAAGCGACTGCATGCCGAAGAAGTAGGAGTTGAATAATGGTGTGAAAAACGCCTGGTTTATGAAGACCTGTTGGGTAATGAGCAAACGTTCGCAGAGGATGCAGTAGAGGCACATACTTTGGTCGAAAGCGACAGGATCTTGGATCTGTAGTTGAAGTTGTTTGACAGCCACATGAACCACTTGAACGATGGGATAGAGCTGACTCCTCCAATTATCAGCGCTCGCCCTGTTCGGGCCCAGTCACGGCCGTCGCTCCATTCTTGAACCCAGCCCTTGTCGTCCGCATCTTCTGCCACTTTGTGGGTTTCCTCGGGCGCAATGGTCTGCGCAACGAGGTCGCCGATAAAGTATATGACGAGCGAAGATATGAGTTGTGTCCTGTATGGCCTCCTTTGTTGTGCGCGACCGTATGCGCGGAAGGGTCCGACAATGGGCTGGAGCCAAAGCCAGCTTGGCCCAGGAATCGTCTGCGCATTGTCCGCGACTCTGCCTGCTGTGTTTGGCCCCGAGACATGTGGCCTGCGGACGACATTCGAGGGGTGGACGTTGATGCGTGCGCGTTCGAAGGTGCCGGGATTGCTGTTCCGAGGGGAAGGGGCGTTCGGAATGCGCCTCAAGCCGACACGGGTAAAGGCGCAGGAAGGAGCGATCATGATGGTGGTTTGTGAGCTCTCATGAGTCTGGAGAAGAACTTAAGGGGGCAGGTGAAAGTGAGGCATGTTGTGATGTTTTAAGACTTGTCAATCTCCGCAGAGGCCCAGACACGGTTGTCCGAGTGTCGGCGGCGAAATGATGAGATTCAGGGTCCTGTTGCGCAAATAGCCGGCTTAGTCAACCATGGCATTTGACCTGGCCCGGGTGTCCCAACACAGCCAGGTACACGCCGTGACATGCGCACTGGGGTTACCGGGCCATCACACACGTGGCACAGCTGACGTCTCTGCGCCATTCACCGTCACTACCACTGGCTCCGTCTCTTTGCGTCTGGAAGCCACTCCTGAAACACTCTCCTGAGGCCCTGCCAGTCACCCTCGATGGTCTCGCGCTTCTCGTCATCCACGAACTCCACATTGTTCATCCCACCGAAATCAATGGCCCAAGCGTTCATCTCCTCGTCAACGACAATATTCATCGGGTGGACATCGCCCCACACAAGGCCGTGAGCGTGGAGCTCCCGCACGATGGCTGTGAGTTGTTCTTCCCACTGTTTATGCGACTCTTGTCTGTCCTGAAGGCCAGCACTTCGCAAGTGGGTCCCCATGCTGGATGAAGTGATCAGTGTCATCAACATGCCGATGGTAGCCTCGCCCGACACCACCACACCCTGCAGTCTAGGCACTCTGAGCCGAGCTGTCAGACGGGCTTCGTCAATGCGTCTGAGTACACGGAGCTCACGCTCGAATTCTGCCTCACGCAGCTCCATTCGCGGTTTGAAGTAAAGCGGGACACCCTCTGCCGTTACTACTCGGCCCTGAATCGCATCGAGATTCTTCCCCTCATTTGCTGTGCGCGCTATCCAAACGTTGCGCGCCTCGAAGTGACGTAGTGTTTTGCATGGTCCAGGCAAGTCGGCGGTGCGCATAGGGGAGGTGAAGAAAGCTGGCGTGTACGCGCACTGGTCTTCTCCCACGATCCGTACATCCTCGTCACTGTCTCCTTGGATGAGCTCTAGATCATAAGTAGGCGAGTGGAGAAAGGCTTCAATGCTAAGGTCCTGGAGTGACGTCCGCGGAGCCAAGCTCTCAAGAAGAGATTGGCAGTATTGATGCACCAGGTCGAAAAGTGGCTTGTCCCTCGTCTTGCTCCACGAACGCCCTTTCCTAAGCTCCATCTCTTGTAGCAGCTTTCTACCAAAAATTGTGTCCTTCACTCGCGCGACGTCGACTTTGACGACGAATCGTGCGTGGCCGCGCAGCACTGTAATTTGACATGTATCTTCAGTAGCAAAACCTGAGGGACCCATGCTGATATGATAATCTTCATCCATGGTGGACTATCTCAACGCAAACGAAAAGTCCGCGTGTAGAGTTAATGTGTAAAGTGTCAGTCGCGAAGTATTGCAATTCAGGCAGCCACCTAGCCACCTGGGCAGGTACGCGAGGTTTCTCACATCACGTGTTTGGGCCACCTAGACAGAACCAGATTCGTCACATATGAGCTGTTCACGTTCTCTTCTGACAACCGTGAAATCACCGGAACAAGGAATAGAGTAGGTGTAGGCAGAAGGAGAGCAGCGAGACCGGTAAAGCCGAAAAGGCATCAAATCCAATTCGTCGTGAGGATTATGTATGTACATAAGAATCGAATGCAGCGACGCTCAAGCCGCTTGTTGCAAGAGGCAGAGCCTACTAAACACTAACAAAATTTTACCAAAAAGAAGTCCATCATGAACCACACACAAAGACACCAGCATCACGTTTTTAGTGTCCTGATAACGCCCGCAACTCAGACGAGCGCTTACAAGCACTGGGAGTACCAGTCATTCTGCTTGACGCACTTGCAGCCTGAAGCGCAGCTGGTAGCACCGGAGTAGCCCTGGCCACCGCACTGGCCGTACTTCTGAGCGGTAGCACCGCCGGCAGTAGGAGCAGGCTTAGCAACAGTGGCGAGAGTGGTCTTGGCTGTGGTAGTGGGAGCAGCGACCTTGGTAGTGGTAGGGGCAGCAGCCTTGGTGGTGGTAGCGGCGGGTGCGGCGACCTTTGTGGTGGTAGGCTTAGCAGGGGCAGCAGGGGCAGCAGGGGCAGCAGCACCGGCACCGTTCCAGAGCTTCGGGCCCGGAATGGGGTAGCTGGAGTATGAGCCGTATAGGTTGAAGTGGACACCAGCGTCCTGAGCGCTGAGGTGACCAGGGATAGCAACACCTGCGGGCAGAGCAGTGGTACCAGAGCCACCGACCTTTACGTGGATGCACTCCTGGTAGAATTGCGCACCACCAATGCGATCACCCTCGTGGAGGGCAATGATCTCGGGGCGGATGATGTACTCGCCAGGTGCAACCTTGGGCAGAGTGAACTTGTGCTGTCCTGGCTTGCCAGTGTATGAGCCCTTGATAAGCTTGTCAACAGCCCATGATTTGCCATCGTAGCCGTCCTCGGCAATCTTTGTCCATGACATGGAAGAACCGGCCTTGGACATGTAGACAGTGATGGGTCCCATGTGGGATGGGTCGATGATGTCGTCGCTAGCGTCAGCGTTGTTGTGGTGCCATTCAACCTGGAGAAAGTCGTCAGTGCTTGTTCTATTCAGAGGATGTCATAGAGGTACTTACAGCAATCTCATCACCACCGTTGACGGCAACGGACTTGGAAGCCTTGATGTTGGCTACGTTGCACTCCATAGCCTTAGAGGTGACATCAACGATGGGGTTGTTGTTGGGAGGAGAGTCGATGTATCCGCCCTGAACGTTTCCGAGACCCTGGGTCTTTCCGTTGACAGAAATGCTGTAAACAGTGGTGTGGGCGCTAGCAGCACCGGCAAGAGCGAGAGCGAAGATGGAGGCCTTCATTTTGGACGAGGAACTTTGAAGTGTCGATTGGGTAGTTGAGTAATTGTTCTTATAAAGAGTGACTGTCTGAAGAGAACGACGAAGTAAAGATCGAAGAATTCAAAGACTGGAAAAGAACGTGTAGAGAACGAGTGTGTTGAGCGTCAAGCGTACCCCTTGAACGAAGGCAGGCCCTGTGGGCTTTATACTTGCTGAATCCTTCCATACACGGAGTCACTGTCCCAAGACATCGCCATCTCGCTTGGTGATTACATGTCAGTTCAGTGCTCCGCCTAAAACAGCCACAAGGAACGTGGCGGCGGTTAGACGTGCAGGCAAACATGAAATACCATCGTATCCTACGGGAGACTAGTGCTTGGAAGGGGCTAGAGCCGCCGTTAGAAGCAGCTGGGCCGTTGAGCAGAGGCTGGCGTGACAGGTGAACGTATAGCTATACCGTATGGGGCATGCAGGATCCAAGAGGCGGTGTTGCGACACTGTGCTTCCCCTGTGACGATCGGTTCTAGGTGCAGCATCTTGGGTTCTTGATTCAAGCAACATGAAACATGAGCGAGGACATCCCTTCGGATGATCTAGCGAAAATCCTTCTAGAGCCATCGAAGCCCGAGAGCCTCGGTATCGTCTTGCTAGAGGGCTCCTGACAATGAGAAAAGGCCGCTATACGGCGTTATGTACTTGACATGAAGTCGCTGTGACTGCACGTCTCGGGCCTGGAAGTACGTGGAGCAAGCATGGAATATTTCTAGCAACCCTCATCTCGGTTCAGTGTTTAGAACGCCATATCCGGCCGCCCAGAACAGCACTGAAAAGCGGCGTCAAGATGTTCCGTCATGCCGCAGACGCCCACGAAGAGTGGAAATGAGCGAGGGAGCGCGCGTCGCGTTGTCGAGAGATGTCCAGTTTTTCAGGACACGAAAGCACCAGAAGTTCGCCGGAGAATCCAGTGTGTGCGCGTCATTAGCCCTCGTGTAGAACGATCATAGTGACTGTTGTGACGATGCCGTACTGGAGTCGTTATGATCAGTTGGAGGGATTGTGCTGATCCTTGGTTGCCGCACGAGCCAACAGCACTTTCCGAGCCCGCGGCTCAGTGCCTTGGCGTTCACAAATCAACCCCGAGGACGGGTCGATCGGTCCGCCCAGAACACAAGTATCCAATACATACAGCAGGTTGTGTGTTTCATGACAACTACTTCATGCAAGCCTCAGGGCAAAATCAAGATGAGAGTTGGCTGATCAGGAATGCCCTCCCTCTTCGTGGACGTTCACCTCCGACGCGCCTCTTCATGCAGAGACTGTGCGAGAATTGGAGAAAGGGGACAGACTCGCTTCAATTCTTCTTAGTACTGCATGGCGTCGTGATAGATACCATGGATGATACCTAGGCAGCCATGATTGTACTTGATCGCTGAGAGCTAGGTACGGAACTAGCCCAGCACCTGGCAAGCTCTTAATCACCGTCAAACCTCTCCTCAACCTACTAGCCCATACACTTGTGGATGGATCAGCTCTCTTTCTTCTCTTATCGAGCGAGCTTCTGATGGAGAAATCATTCAACAGTACCTAGGTATCAGGTCCAGTGCAAGAACGCTTGGGGATTCCAAGGGTTCTGACTTCACGGAGGCGTCGAGCGAAAAACGAAGACCGCTGAACACCAACGTGATAGAACAAGATGAGGCATGCGGTAGATCCAAAAACGAAAAGCGGCCCTTCACGCGTGGGCAAGGACGCAGCGCCGCGTTTTGACGATGGAATCGCGGTACGGCGGCTTCCGAAAAAGCCTCGGTAACTGACACAACGCTCTTTGACACATGGGGAAAAAAATACAAGGAAGCAAGCGCGAATGACACGAATGTTGTCTCTGAAAGAACTTCAGCAAGAAGCTGTGAGAGGTAGGTGACCTTATGAGGTTGGGAGGGAGAGCGCGGCCAGATGCGGCTGCGCGCCTTGGCAAAAAGTGACACCTGAGAAAACAACGCCCATGCTACCCTGTAGCCAACGTGGTTCCCCCGACACCAGACGAACGGGACACTCCGACATCACGAGGGCATCGTCCTCATGTCTAGAATTCAAGCACGGCTAGTACCGCAAGGTGTTGTCTTCGGCGAAAAGTCTACCCAATTACTCCTTTCCTCCAGCAAGACAGCAGCTCAGCCTGAGCAGCTTTACAGACCTGCTTTGCTTCTAAGAGTTTCCGGAACAGCGTAAGCCAGTCTCTTCTGGTTACATGCAGAAACGGATTTCCAGTTGCAGCAAGCGCACAAAGATACTTCCATGTACCATGCTCCCACAGCACGTTCAGCCAGGAACATCGGGCATCGTTTCCGTAGACCTGGCATCCATCTACGGAGCTTGTACACATGGGAACTAAGGCTTGTCAAGCTTAACCAATGGTGTTGCATCATTCCTACCTTGCCCATGGATCATCGAAATTCCGCCGAAAAGTAGGTGAGCCGATTGTTACAGTTTGAGGAAGTTGTAGTCGGAAGAGCTTACGGTCTAGGGCATTGTTCCGGGGTCTTGGACGACTTCGAGCAGGCCAGGTTCCCGGGAAATGATAACGGCAAATATTAAGATTGACCGAGTAAATTTTCCGAGGCTGAAATACGCGGGGAGACGAGAAATGCCAATGCACGCGACTAGAAGAGGTAAGCCCATGCTCTTCTCATTGGTGAGGTAATTTGATTTCTCCGTAGTGGTCCTACACATGTCAGGTGTTCGCGTTAGCACCACTTGCCACGAGAGGATTGCCACTACAATAGAAACATGTGGATGATCATTCGGAATCTAGGGACGGATCGCGCTTGACGAAGCTCATAATATATGAAGGTCCACTTGAAATATCACCACCGTCTAAAGTCGAGTAACAATGCCATGGGGGATACCTGTTAGGAGGACGCAATTTGGCAAGTACAAAAGGTCAAACGGTCCGCACGAAGAGATGGATTCCAGAACAGCAGGGAACTTTCAAAACCAACGCCCAGCCGCCAAACATCCACCATGAAGGTCGTTTCTCTCATCCTTGGCGCTCTCGCCTCCGTTGGCTTCGCGCAACAAGCGACGCTCTGCAAAGACTACGAATACTTCTCCAGCAACGGCTACCAGCTCAACAACAACATCTGGGGCCGCAGCTTCGCCACCTCGGGCTCGCAGTGCACCTACGTCGACAGCGTGTCAGCCACTGGCGCCAAATGGCACACCAAATGGACATGGGCCGGCGGAAAGGACAACGTCAAGTCCTACGTCTACTCCGGACGTCAGATCACCAAGAAGAAGGTGAACCAGTACACCAACCTGGCGACGGAGGCCTACTGGGTCTACGACACCACCAACCAGCGCAGCAACGTCGCATACGACCTGTTCACTGCTGCGGACATCAACCACGACACCTCCAGCGGTGACTACGAGCTCATGGTCTGGCTCGCCAGATACGACGTCTGGCCCATCGGTACCTCGCAGGGTATGGTCACTGTTGCTGGCCGATCCTGGGAACTCTTCTACGGCCCCAACGGCGCCATGAAGGTCTACAGCTTCGTGCCCCCTGTTGGCCAGCCCATCTACAACTTCAAGGCCGACCTTAAGGAGTTCTTCACTTACCTCACCAACAACAAGGGCTACCCTGCTTCCAGCCAGAACCTCATTAGTAAGTTTCTCGATGCTACCACCATGACAATGCGTATGCTAACCTCCATCGTAGCTTACCAATTCGGTACCGAGGCCTTCACTGGTGGACCTGCTACGTTCACCGTGAACCAATGGTCCGCTAACGCTTGGTAAATTGTCGTTCGCAACGACCATAGTAGTGGTGCGAGACATGCGCGATCGTCTGGAAGCCTGGAGCAGTTGCGTCTATTTGGGACTGGAATCGCAACCTTTTCTGTACATACTTACACACTTTGGTTCTCAAAGCGTATATATGAATGAACATTTACATTTGCAACGAAATTTTAACATCGAAAAGCGAAGATCCTGATATGCATCAGGTTAAGAGGCTGCTGACTTCTACAAGAACGAAGCCAGGCCTATGACACCAGCCATAACGGCCCAACCCAGACTTCCCATCGTAGTCTTGAGCGCATTGCCTGTGAACGGCTGCGGCGCACTTCCATTGCCGTTCATGCCTTGCCCTGCAACAGCGATCGTGCTTGCACTCTTCTCCGTTAACTGGCCATCGCCACCCCTCAATTGCCCTCCTCCACTGATACTCGATGGATCTCCTGAAGAGCCCTGCACACACCCCATCGTGCCGTTGCCACGAAACATGCGGTCAGCAACACCCTTCCACACCTCCGTTACATCGGAGATCATCTTGCCCGTAAACCACATCCTGCAATCTGCGGCTTCATACATGAACTCTAACGGCGTACCGCTCGCATCGTTCTGTCTCAGGTTGTCTTTGAGATTGACGCCGCCGGCGATCTGTCCGCCATTGTATGCAGATCGCTTGAAGAGTTGGGTTGCGAAAGCGGTTTTGCCAAGATCCGTTTCGTCCCAGGCTTTTCGTTGCTCGGGTGAGCCGAGGAAGTAGACGGATTGCATACGGACTTGGATATCGTCCCAGGCGAAGACTTGGGCGCCTTTGGTGCCACCGACACCCTGCATCGGGCCGATTTGGGGTCGTCCACCGACGGCGATCGTGCGTACTGCGCCTTGGTTCTTGAGTAGTTCGGAGATAATCGCGCAGGTGGAGGAGCACATGCCATCGTGTAACATGACCATATCTTGGGCTTGGAAGGGCTGCGGTGTGCTGGTTTCGTTGGCATTGTCGTTGTAGCCAATTACCGAGAAGCCCTGGTATGTTGTGCTGACGCTGTCCGAAAAGTTGTACCGCAGTGTCGTGGTGAAAGAATCGTTGTTGATCTGCTCGGGACCAAAGAGTTGGTCCCACCCACTTATGGCCTTGTTGTTGACATCGAGGATATGCTGATAATTGAATCCGCTTGTGAGGGCAAAGATATCGGCTTGTGTGGTGGCCCGACCAAACACCTCCATGAAGGCGG